AAGTCCATGAAACTTTGAGTACACCTGCTACCACTTATGAACAGCAATATAACAATTAATTCTTTAAATAAATTTAACTATAAACACTGAGTATTTCAGGATACTCTTACTCCCTTTTGTGCACTTCAAAGTGGCTGAAATCATGATCGCATATCCAGGTTGAAATTGTATCTTCTTGATTCTCAATAGGAACCTATAAGACAATAAGAAGTCTCTACGAAAATTTTATACCAAGGTAATCATTAGTTGCACATATTTTCATATCAAAATTGAAGACAAATTAGTCTCATAATAAAATTTTATAATATAAACAAATTTCACACGGACACAACATGTTTGCCAAGGAAATATAAAAAATTATTATGTCATTAGATGAATATAATGAATCTTTCCCATTAGAGCATACACGCAAAATTGTGGGAAAGAGAAGTGAGAAGAAAAGCCTACGATGGTAAAGCAATGCAATTAGACTATATAAATGGGTCTAACGTTTTTCAACATAAAACAAAAACTACTCAACAACCACACATAAAATTATAGCATTAAAGTTCCCTTTGAAAAAAAAAACAACTCCCACAAAAGAGGTCCACATGGTTTTAAAATAAATAATTATTATTATTAAAAGCAAATAACAATAAACATTTAAAGGCTAATTAAAGAGGTAATCAAACCATTTAAAACTAATCTCGAAAAATTGTATTCAACATAAAATAAGTATTGAAATTAATTTTGTATTTTGAACTCCCAAATAGTTAAGGAAATTCTAAACCCCCACAAATTAGGAAATTCTCAAAATATATGAAAGTTTATTTATTTTTAAAATTCATAAGATATGCCATAATACTTTAGAGGATTTACGGTTGAAAACCTTACACCAAAACTCAAAATTAAATGCCGCTTACAGTGATATAATTTATCATTTTATTTCAGTTTTCTCCAGAAGGTTTCACAATGTACACTTCCTGGCAATTAACTCAATGTGGCAGCTGTCAAGACTTCATAATCAAAAGAACATTAGTTCACTCAATATATTTTATCAAGATTAATGCAAGTAACTAATATGAAGGATTGCACAATTGAAATATATAGGCGTTGGCAAAATGAATCCAAGACATTTAAACAAAATGTAATTAATTGCATAAATGTTCAGAACATTAAAGGCAATAATCACCTAACAATATCAACAACTTTACTGCCAACAATAAACGCTCTAAATGTCATGAAAATTGACATTGAAGTTTTGAAACTGAAGCTGCATAAAATATATATATATAAAAAATCTCGTAATTGATTGCAATGCAAAAAGCTTCTAAATAAGTTAGTAGCAATTAACCACTTTTGGAACTAGAAAACTAACGTCCAAAACCAATTATAGCACATTTAAGATTTGAATTATAGTACATTGGAAATATATATGTGAGTAATGAAAATTTTAAAAATGTACGCACATACACAAATATAAAAGGATCTAATACTGAGTTTGGAATCGTTCGCAACTGTCCTAAACTTACCCAAAACCAATAGATTTTGCTTAAGAGAAAGTAGTTTAGGGTTTACAGTTTGGATCCGGATCCTCTGCTCTGATTTTCTCTGCCATGATCTGCTATACTTTCACTGTAATGCTGCCACATCATTAAAAAACAATCCAAAGGTAGAGAATATAGCACGTGTATTTTAAAAATAAATAACATATATTTTATATATTTTTTGACACAAAAACATAGTTTTCGTTTTCCGTAAAGCCAAACACAAAAACATTATATTATAAATAACATATAAATAAATAGGAAAGATTTTAAGGTATAATGAAATTGAAGAAAACAAAATAATAGGTAAGTAAAAGGAAAATAAATAATAAGTAAGAAGGTGAGTTTGGTAC